CCCCAAAACCCCAAAACCCCAAAACCCCAAAACCCCAAAACCCCAAAACCCCTTTATAAAAAATCGCTATTGAAAGCAAGAAATTACATATTCCTATGCTCATATTGCCAATTCTGCTCTCTATGATAAGTGTTCATCATGTTGGAGTAAGAGGCTGGCGTCGTGTTGGAGTGAGCATTCTTTAATTCTCTCTGGAAAGCATTGTAAAGCATATCAAACAGACCTTCCTTCAATGGCATATCACCGATTGGATCAATTTCTTCAGTGATTGATTGACTTCTTGGAAGCATTCCATATTCATGAGCCCAGAGATGTTCAATTCCCTCCATATGCCACTGGTTAACAACTGCAACAATTTTTTGTCCTTCTTTAGCATTTCTGGTGATGTATTTATACAAGGCCATGTCTCTTTTATCAATAAGGATTCTCTTCAAATATGGGAACATTATGTCTAAGCTCTGAATATACCAGTTAATATTATAAGTATCACAACAACTCTCAACATAAGAAGATGGAGTAGTGAGTTGCAATTTCTGGATCTGTTGGTAATGCTCTCCTTCCCATCTGGTACCTCCAAACTCATATAACTTATAAAATACATTCCCCATGTTTAGCCTGTGCTCATGATAAAGTCTCCTCCAAGTGATGTTGTTTAGTTCTGGGCCCAAGAAATGAAGTTCAGCTCCAAGTTTCTCTGCTTCCTCACAAGCATATTTGATCTCAAGTCCTGGATAATAGAATTTGAAGTGACTTCCTGGCCTATAAGCGAAGTTGAGTGCTAGTTTCAAAATGAACATTCTTGCTCTGAAGACAGCTCCTCTGAAATGAGACATATCAACCTTGCATTCATTGATGCCTCCTAAGACGGCATCATGATATTTCTCAAAATCCTCTTGGGAATGGACTCCTTCAATGAGTCTTGCACTGTCCCACCACTTGGGTGATGCCATCACGAAGACAGAATCTGGCTGGATTTCTCTAATCAACTTCCTTGTTCTCCTAGCAAGCATTGTGTTAGTGTTCATAGTTCCAATGAGATGGAGCTCAGTGTTGGTAAATGGCTCTTTAAGATGAACATGAGTAGAACTCTTAGGATCCTCACGTTTGCCAAGCCTGTCAGACATATGCTGGTGCTTGTTCTGAGAACGCATAAAGACATGCTTCGAGAACGGAGTGATATTGTTTGGCCTAGCAACCTTTTTGTAGAGAAGTCTGTAGCGTGATAATGGGTTAGACATGAAAATTATTTATAAAAATTCAATTATAATATTATAAAAAGGGGTTTTGGGGTTTTGGGGTTTTGGGGTTTTGGGG